CCGCGAGGCGCGCCGCCCGTCGTCGCCACCGAGCTGTCCGATCAGTTGGGCCCCCGGGCCTCGGCCCCCTCCCCGCGAGGAAAACGCCCTATCCTTTGGCAGAGCTCAGCTTACTAACCAGAACCTCGTGGAGGGCTGAGTGCTGCCGGGGGCCGGGGGCCGGGGACAGAAGTTGAGGAGCGGTCAGGAGAGGCTCCTGCCAACATAGTGAAGTAGGCAAGGAGGAAACAATCAATAGCAGCTATCCCAGGCCCAAGGAGGGGTCCAGCCCCGGGGGAGATGTGTTGCTATTATTATGCTGCTGCCGGACAGAATCTGCAGATCCCCTCCTTGCCCTCTCGCGCCGGCTCGCCCCCTCCTCCGGCTCTGCCTCCCACCTCCCTCTTACCCAGACAAAGCTTTGGCTTCGCGGGGGAATGCAGCAGGTGCGGGCCGCAGTGTGGCAGAAACTCGCTGCTGTGTTCCCCCCACCGGGAGGAGCCGCAGGAACCGGCAGGACTGCAGGGCCGGCCCTCTTGACTCCCTCCCCTAGAGCCCGGGCCGGGAAGGCTGGGGGACGCGCGGCTGCCCTAGGGAAGGGCCAGCTTTGTAAGGTCTGTGAAGACAAAACGGACCCCTCACAGACCTTACAAGGCCAGCTGGGTCACGGGGTTCTGAAATTGGGAGTGCAGCTCACCGCACCCGGAGGTGGGTGGTGGAAGATGCACTTTGCTTCTAGAACAATGTGTGTGGGAAGCCCAGCCTGCCCCCTGCTCAGATGGTGGATCCGAGGAGAGGGTCCAGGGTACTCTTGGGAGCCCGTGACAGCTCCAAGCCCCTCCCAGTTCTGGTTTCCAGGTCCTTGTCTGAATTACAGTTCCAAACAGTGGTTCCTTGAGCCCAGACTGCAGCAGACACAGAGCCCTGCGTGCAGGGGGGCTCTAGTCCTACGGAGGCACCTGCTGGGCGCTCCTTGCCCAGAGAACCCTCCTCTCTAGGCCTCTAGCTCATCCTGGAAGCTCTGACACTTCACAGGGTCCAAGTCTGCGGGATTCCAGTGTTTGGTCAGGGTAGTCTACAGAGTGTGGTTTAAGACTGGGGGCCACCCAGAGCTGCGGGGGGTGGGGGTGGTCTGGAAGGGCAGTGACCTCAGTGAGCTCTGGGGCTGACAGATGACTGATTTGGTTTAGGGCCCCTGGAAGCCAGACTGTTTTGGTCTGGTGTTTTGGAGCCAGCCAGGCTGGGACTTAAATCCCTGCAGGTTAATTCATGTCTCTGGACCTCAGTTTCCTCATCTGCAAAATGAGGATACTTCAAAGGCTGTTGTGAGGGTTACACTGTTTACGTATAGCGTTTAGCTCCCAGTGGACACTCCACAAATGATGGTTTCTCCACTCTGCTTCCCTACGAAACTCCCTTCCTAACTTCCATATTCCTACTTAGCTTTTGGCTGGTTTTCTAAGTACCCCATCACCAAGTTTTGCTGTGGCGTTCTCTCTGCTTCCCAGTTTGCCCCACCCCTCACTTTCCCTGAAGTCTCAGCCATTCCCACCTCCTTCAGCTAACTGTCCTCCTGAACCCTGCTCCACACGCCTGTGGAAGCTTCCCCTGACCAGCTCCGCAGGCCGCTGTTCCCTCTTCTTGCCGTATTGGGTCTTCATGGCAATTAAAGCACAACATTCTCACCCGTTTGATCATGTCTGTATATTTTCCTTGCCCGTCTTTGTTGAAATGAAAGCTGTGGACAGAAAAAAGCTCTCAAGGGAGAATTAACAATCGTGTTAATTGGTGGCATGTGCTTAGCTTGTGTCAGACACGGTGCCAAGCATCCCTAGACCAGTGGGATGTGTAATCGTCACAGCCCTAGCAGGTGGTTTCTGCATCAGAACCATTTCAGGGGAAAGGAACTGAGACAGAGAAATGAAGCAACCTGCCCCAGGCAACTGAGTAATGGCTCTGGGACTTGAATCAGATCTTTGTGACTCTAAGACTCACACCCACATCCCCCACACCACAGTGCTCAGGTAGAGTGAGCAGCCCTTGAGTTTCGTTTTCCTCTTTGGGATCTTCCTCTGACTGTCCTTCCATCCGATTGGCCTCAGGGGTCTGTGATGCTACGTCTCCCCTCTAAAGCCCGATCTATGTGTGGACATTAACTGAAAGGAAATTAACTAAGGAAGGAAAGAAATGGAAAAAAAGAAACATAACAATAGTTGTTCAGGGCTGTGGGGGTGTGTCTCCCTCTCTGAAAGGTATTACTTGGCTTGGCAGTGCTGTGTGACAAAAAGAACTGAGCCCAAATCCTACCTCTGCAGCATGCTAGTCTTGTGAACTTGAGCAAGTTACTGAACTCTCTAAGCTGCTGTTCCCTAATTTGTCAGAAGGACAGCAAAACTACTTCACAGGGTGATAAGGATTAAACGAGTTATAGCGTGGACAGCCATTTGGCTTGACCTAGGTGTTTAATCAGTTTTAGCTTGTGGTCACCATTTCCCATTTTGGCCACGGAAGAGCAGCTGGAGTGCTCCCTGATGCCTTCCCTGGAGTGGGTCAAACTCCCAAAGACCACTCCCTTCCCCCTCAGTCTGGTTTCCTATTTAGGGGTCAGGCTCTGCTTTCAGCAGAGGGAAGGATGGTGATCATCGCAGCAAGTGACCTGTCCCTGCCCAGCAGAGGAATGGTGTCGGTTCCTGCACTTGGAGATTTCAGAATTGAAAAGAGGAGTTTATGATGGTGCGTCCATTCGCATATCGACCCCCACGCCCACCCAGCACTGCAGCGACAGACGGGAGGTTCTCTCAGTCCTTCCTACCACAATTTATGAAAACAGATGCCTGCAGATGCTCCCTTCTCAGGGGTCACTCCCAGAGGGCCAGTTCTCCTTCCTTGCATGACTGCCCCTTCTGATGCTTGCTGCAAAATAAGGATGCTTTATAGGCTGTTGTGAGGGTTAACTCACCAAAACCCACCCACCCACCCACTGTGGCGTCACAGCCCCCGCTAGCCCAGTGGAAGCTGGGCAGGAAAGTATGGAATGTGAGCCTAGGCACTGGGCTGACAGCTTTCCATAGATCATTTGATTTAATCCTTGCAACCACCCAGTGGGAAAGATGCCATTATCTCTACTTTACAGACGAAGATACTGAATCTCAGAGAAGGCAAGTCGCTGTCCAGGGTAATTTAGCTGGTAAGTGGTGAGGCTGGGATGGAACTTGACCGTCTGGCTCCACAAATCACCATTGCATTTTGCTGCCTGCTTCCGCTATCAGCGGGATGCCAGGCCCCTGGGCTCACTTCCTGGTCTTAGGAATGTGGATTCAGTCCAGCAGAACTTACTGAACCTCAGGGCATATTCACACGTCCTATGGAGGTTGCCCAACACGACAGGTCTGCCTTAGAAGGGGGCTGGTGCTGATGGTGATTAACTCTTCGCACCAGGGGAGCTGGGGCAGTGGTGCAAGATTCAGGACCTGAAGGCTCTGCTCCCTTCCTGGAGCATCTCTACTCATGCCTCCCACATCTGCAAGGCCCAGGGCTCAGCATCCCTCACCCTGGCAAAGGGGTGTATGGTGCAGAGATCTGACCTGGTCTCTGGTCTTAGAATGCAGAGCTGTGTGACCCAGGGTCACTCGCTTGACCTTTCTGTGGTGCAGTTTACTTGTAAAATAGGAAAGATGGCATTTACTGATCCCCCTGCCCCCTTTGTTTCATAGGTTTTAAAGAAAGAGAAGAAAGAAGAAGGAAAGTTAGTGTGTATTAAAATCTCATTTGTTAGGATTAAAGACAATATGTGTGGACACACTTGGAAAAGCCAAAAGCCTGGTCCATATGGAATCCCATCATTCTTGTGATTGTCATCACTGCCCTTGTGACTGTGCCCCACCAGTAGATGGCATGCCTGCCATCTGACGACTTCCCCTGGAAGTGAAATGAGCATCATTCCAACCCCCTACTTCTCTAAGGGCTGCCTCCTACAGGAAGTCTCCTAAGGGGGGTCCAGGTCTGCCTCCTGCAGGAAGCCTTCTGAGATTAACTCCTGCTGCTTCCAAGGAACTCCTGGGCCTTGGCTCCTGTCCTGGATGAGTTTCTAAGCACTCTTCCCACTGTACTGCAGATCATGGCCAAATAGAAGAGTATGTTAAGAAATGGTTGAAGAGGGGAGACCCTCCCTCACCTTTTGTAGCCGCTTTCCATGTAGGCACCATGCTGGTTGTCCCACAGTCACGTCCCTGCTATTAACCCCCACAGGCAGAACACCATAGTGGTTGAGGCACAACTGCTGGTGCCGGCAGGTCTGGTCCTAATCCGAGACACGGAACGTTTTAGCCCTCACCTCACATTTCTACAGAGTGACTGGAGTCTAGAGCACTTGGAACAGTGCCTGTCCTGGGGCATATACAAGGCATTAGCTGTCAGCAGACCACCCTCTCAGCATGGCCACCGTGGTCTTCTTCTCTGTTAAGAATGGGAATGGGAGAGGCTTATGATGAGCTGTGATAGCAGACACCATCTGAGATCCAGGCCACACCCCCTGGACCACCTGTAACTCCAGCTGCCTATGGAGGACGGTTTCTAAGCATGCTGGCAGCATCACAGCATCTCAGCTCTTCTGACTCAGGACTTTTTCTCAGGCTGCCCAGGGTGGCCTGGATGTTGGGGGAGGCCACTCTGAAGGCGCTAGCCTCCTGTCTGTAAGAGGAACAATTCACGTCCTTCAGCTGGCTCTGCAGATGGCTCCTGTCTGTAAGGAGCCCTGGTGGCTCACAGAGGAAACAAGTCCAATCCCGCGGAGCCAGCTGGCCTGAGTCAGGTCAAGGTCCGGAGCAAAGGTCGCCCGACTCCGCTCCCTGGCCCCGCCCATGGCTGGCTCCCTGGGTGCTCTGTCTTCAGCCCAGGCCTCTCTCCAGAGCTGTAGTCTCATTAGCCGCCCCACTTTGCAGGCCTGCTTCTCCCTCGCAGCCCCCTTACTGGGAGAAACACCACCTTTTACTTTGTTTCCCAAAACCAGAAACCTGGGAGTCATCAGCTCTGCTTCCCCCACCCTGCCTTCCCCGACAGCCAGTCAATCACTTGGCATTGACATCTGTTCACTTCTCTCTGGTTCCCTCTCCCTCTCTTGCTACCCTGGTTTAAGCCACCTAAGGCATGGTCCAGCCACTGCAGCCTTTCCTGGTCCCCGGCCTTCAGAGTAGCTCCCCCAGTCTCTTCTCCCCATGGTTGCCATAGTGATCTTCCTGAAGTGCAGATCCAGTGATGTCACTTACCTCTTAACTTCTCTTTGGCTCCCTGTTGCTGTGACACAAACTGCATGTCCTAAAAGGCAAGCAAAGCCCTTCGTGATCTGATGTCCCCCTGCCCTCCCTTTGTTCCTATCCCAGAAGTCTACACTGGCATCAGACTAAACTATCTTGAAGGCTCGAATTGGCTTAAAACACACAGATTAGGTAAAGACCTGAGCCAGACAGGCCTGGGGTGGAGTCCTGGCTCTACACGACCTCAGATTGGGTATTTTTCCTCTCTGAGTTCCAATCTTTAAAATGGGAATAATAATGCCTAATGCTCGCTCCGAGGATCAGATGATATAATGTGCGCAGGGTGTTTATCTCAGTGCCTCACCCGCAGGAAGGGCTCAAGAGGTATGAGCTTCCAGATGGTTCCAGCCTCCTCATCCAGAGCACCCGGCCCCTGTATCACCCCAATGACTCCTTTTCTAACATCCAACTCATGTCACAGCCTTCATAGAGCCTTTCTGTACCCTCTCCCTGGTCTCTGCCTTCCAATGCAATGCCCACATGCTGCCCGGCTCACGGGCCCATCACATCAAGTTCTGGGGTCTGTCTTTATCCCCATGTTATCTTCCACTGGGTGGGGAGCATCCTGAGGACAGAGGCACGTGCCTTCTGCCTGCATCCCTGTGTCTGGTCCACGCCAGCACAGAGCAGCTGCCCCAGCAATGCTTGTGAACCAGTGAACACCGGCAGATGCATGGACTCTGGGCACCCCACAGCTTAGCCATCTCCCCCTCCCTTTCAGCTCCTAAACTTGGCATCTCTGGTAGGCTCTTGCTTCTGAAGAACCCTGAGTCACCATAGAACCAGGCAGGGACTGTTCCTGACTCTTGCCTAAGGCCTAGAGGGGTCAAGGAGGAGGGCCGGCCTTGTACCAGCCACCACCAAGGGGAAGAGCATGCCCTAAGCAGCCCCTGCATCAAGGGGTGGCAGAGAGGGGAGGAGGATGGTCCAGAGAGATGTGCCTTCCTCTGTTTCACAGAGAGGTTAGGCAACTTGCTCAAGCTCACACAGCTAGTCCAGGCAAGAGCCAGGGTTTGAATTCAGGCTCCAGAAGTCATGCTCTTAACTATCCTGCTGTGCTGTTTTCATAGCGTGAGTATCTAGGCTTCCCATGGGCTAGACTTGACCTTGTCCACCTGTCACTCTGCGCTTTGAGCTTTGCAAAGATTCCAAAGGACCCCTTGACTCGTACTCCTCCAGCTTCTGCACGTGTGCCCTCAGGGCCCGGAGCTGACTGCCTCCCACCGTGGGTCATTCCAATTTTAGACAGAGCTTCCTGATTGTCTTTTGTTGACCTGGACTCTTCTTCCTTCATGAAGCCTTCACTCAGGGTTCTTCACTCCACTTGTGACCATCAGGTACAAGTCTGCACCCACTCTTCCCCCGCAC